TTCAGCTTCGGGATCTGGGCGGCTTAGAATTTCCTGACAGAGAGCAATATAATCCTGCGAAGTTAAGGAAAAAAATTTAACGCATTTTAATAAAAATATTTAATGAGTTTCAATAAAAAAGTTTGTAACAAGGAACACAGGTCTTTATATTAAAAACATTTCACTTACATGGGGGAGCAGACAACATTGAGATGTGCATATATAGCCGAGAGCTCCTAGCATAGCACATCAAGACATAACTCGCCGCATAAACAAATGTATACATACACATATACATACATATGTACGCGAGCTTAGGTGTATTCTTCGAAGGAATTATTGTGCCCATTACAACATGAAAACACACAAGTCTATTGTTACTTTCGGTGGGATCCAAGTGAAAGTGGGTGTCTCCTATGAACTATGAAAATAAATACTTAAGAAAGTTATATTTTTATATCTTTTTACTGGCAGTGCGAGAAATTGAAGCTTTGAACAGCTCATTAGCATAATGCTCATACGCGTGTTGGAGTAGAACAAGTGTAGTATAGCGGCCGTTGAGGAAAGATAAAAATAAAAAGTGGGCGTGGTCTGCCCCTTTTTACTGATTTTAATGGTGTAAACCATTTTTGGTGGAAATTAATAGGGGCGGAGCTAAAGGGGGGTAAAGGTGAAATTTTCGATATTTTAAAAAGCTTATATATCGAAAACTATTGCACCGATTTTTAAATCGTGGACATGGTTTGAAAAATAATTGAAAAGCCTTTTATTTGATATGCATATTATATATTATATATGTATTTGGAAAAAAAACTAAAAAACGAAATTATAAAATTTTTTTTTATAAAAATGTACGTTTTTCTAAAAAAATACGTGATTTGCCAAATTACTATTTTTATAAAGTGCATAAAAATACCTTTAATTTTATGTATTTATTGTATGTTGCAAAAATTCTTTTGAGTAGGCGGCCTTTGGCCGCGCTTAGGGATTCTCCTTTCTGTGCTGCCGTAGAAGAGGGGCTGAACACCTTTTCCGGAGAACACCTTTTTGCGTAGGAGGCCTTCCTCCGCACTTAGGGACTATAACCCTCACGAAGTAGAATTCTCCTTTCTGTGCTGCCGTAGAAGAGGGGCTGAACACCTTTTCCGGAGAACACCTTTTTGCGTAGGAGGACTTCGGCCGCACTTAGGGACTATAACCCTCACAAAGTAGAATTCTCCTTTCTGTGCTGCCGAAGAAGAGGGGCTGAACACATTTTGCGGAGAACACCTTTTTGCGTAGGCGGCCGAAGAAAGGCAGCGTAGGCGGCTTCGGCCGCACTTAGGGATTATAACCCTCACGAAGTAGAATTCTCCTTTCTGTGCTGCCGAAGAAGAGGGGTTGAACACATTTTGCGGAGAACACCTTTTGCGTAGGCGGCCTTTGGCCGCACTTAGGAATTATAACCCTCACGAAGTAGAATTCTCCTTTCTGTGCTGCCGTAGAATAGGGGCTGAACACCTTTTGCGGAGAACACCGTTTTGCGCAGGAGACCTTCGGCCGCACTTAGGGATTATAACCCTCACGAAGTAGAATTCTCCTTTCTGTGCTGCCGAAGAAGAGGGGCTGAACACCTTTTGCGGAGAACACCTTTCTGCATAGGCGGCCTTCGGCCGCAATTAGGGATTGCAACCCTCACGAATTAGCATTATCCTTTCTGTTTTCCCGAAGAAAAGGGGATCCACAATGTTTTTGGTGCAATGGTTTTGGAAATAAAAGCTTTTGAAAATATTGAAAATTCTACCTTTACCCCCCTTTAGCTCCGCCCCTGTTAATTTCCACCAAAAAAAGTTTACACCTTTCAAATCAGTAGAAGGGAGCGGACCACGCCCACTTTTAATTTTTGTTTTATCTCAACGGCCGCTATACTGCACTTTTGCCATTGGAGTTTCGAAATCAAGTCAATATCATTACACGGTGTTACAAAAAAAAAAAATTGCACGAACTTTTTAAGTGACCTAGCACAGGTAGTAGAGCTGGCCAATTAATTCACGAAACTGTTTTCAAAATTTTTCTGACACCCTCAAATTCACAACTTATTCTTAAAAAACCATTTTTTCATTACTTCCGCCAGAATTTTTAGTTCGGTTAATTTTTAACCAATTTAGAAAGAAGAATATTTGTACTATTTAAAGAAATATTAAGTTTTGTGAGCACATTGAAAATATGTGGAAAATTTATGGAATAAATCTGAAATTTAGACCAATTCTTTTTTTATTTTTACCACTTCTATCACATTTTTTGCCAAAATTTCTTAAGAAAATACTCTCTTTTAGCCATTACTTCGGAAATAATGTTTAATTCTGAGTAAAATAAGTTACGAAGATATGTCATCTTTTATAGAGACAAATTCAAATTTTTCCATACGAATTATTGAAACCTCAAAGTGAATATGGAAGTAATTTTGGAAGAAATTTTTAGAAAATTCATATCCTCCAAAATTGCCTATTGATTTTTATAAATTATACCTATTTTTACTAGGGATTAAACATTCGTTTTGAAGTAATGATTAAAATAGGCTATTTTCTTTTGAAATTTTGGCATAAAATGTTGTAGAAGTGGAAAAAAATAATAAAAATTGGTGTAAATTTCAGATTTAATCTAAAAATTTTCTACATATTTACAATGCGTTCACAAAACTTATTTTATCCTTAAAGAGTACAAATCGTCACTAGGCACGAATAAAGGCGCGAGCTCAAAAGTTGACGGCGAAAAAAGACGCATAAAAAAACTTCAGCGTCAAAGACTCTTAGCATACTTCGCCGAAGTTTTTCATAAGCATCTTTTTTTGCAAATTTTTTTTTACGCGCCTTTTTTCGCCGTCAAAACACTAGCGCGCCTTTATTCGTGTGTAGTGACGAAATACTCTTCTTTCCAAAGCCATATAAAAACTTAAAATTGGGTAAAAAATAACCGAGCTGAAAATTGTTTGGTGCGGGAAGTCATGTAAAATTGTTTTTTTAAGAATGAGTTGAGAATTTGAGGGTGTTAGAAAAATGTTTAACGCAGTTACGTAAATTACTCGACCAGCCCTACGACCTAGGTCACTTAAAAAGTTCATGATCAGTGTTACGCCGTGTCATTAATTGATATTAACTTCACCGAAGGAATAACCTCAAAAAAGTGCATTAATTTGCATGGGGAGATTTAAAATGTCCGTAGCTCACTACGCTAAGCGCATTTTTAAAATGATTTCTGGCTGTTCGGGACATTGTTCCCCGTGTATCGATGCGAAACATTTCATTCTTAAAATATGGATGTATCAAAGAAATTACTTTTATAGCAGTTCTTGGCATACATATGTTTAACATAAGAAACTTTCTTTTTTAAGAATTATTACACATCATATTTCAAATATAATATCGTCGCCTTAGAGTGTAAACCTGCTAACGACCAAAAAACATATTTTACTGTAGAGGCAAAAAACTAAATATATCTTTAACTCTTAGTCTAAGGGTCAAGTCCTACATATAGTTTGTTAATCGCGCGACGTTCTATGGCCCTAATCCAGAACGAATGAAAAAAACACGTTTTTATGGTTTTATTGGCGAATTTCTAACTTAGCAGGTTTTAGTTTTTGTATTTTCAAAATTGAAGTGGATTTAGCAGGTTTTTTTGTATGAATGAAATTGTTTCTATTTTATTTTTTGTGATTACGAGCTCAATTTAAATGTTAATTAAAATAGGATTCCATAGATAAAAACAATCATATATATAAAATAATACAACAGATTTATTCTTCCGTTCATTGCAACAAAAATAAGCAGTTTATAATACATATATTAGTAACTGAAGTACGTGAAGTATTCCTCTATCAAATTAATAGAGTGAAAGTCCACATATAAGATAATTTAATCCCAGAAAGTATGATACATATTATTCAATCATGAGGTAAATTGTCATAGTAGGTGTGGTAATCCTCAGGAAGTAATCGTTTGAAATTCTGGAGATCTCATACTTTCTGCGAGCAATCGTACGCCTACTCTCGTATAAATTCGGAAGGTGAGAAAACGGCAAGGAAATCGCTACTGGGGATTTTCTTTGCGTTGGAGAATCTTAGTTTGAAATCTATGTCGCCACTTGGTGTATACCGTAGGGCTCGTATATCAGTTACTTTAGCAGCACCTTTGCCGCGACCGGGACGAATGCTATTAAAGAATTGAACTGTGTTAAAGGTTTTAAAGAACGTGTAACTAAGATAAGTTACGTCATATGGTTTTGGATTTTTTCTAGCTGATCTACATACTTCAACGTATTCTGCAGGAACATGTATATCTCTTTTCTTAAGTGCTCGTTCAATAGTGGAATGGATACAATCAGCTTCCATTTGGGTATGGCCTACTTCAAGAAACTTTTGCTCAATAATGATATTGTTATTTATAGCTGTGGATAACAAAGCATTAGCCATAATACAGTTTCGGTTTTGATATGTGCATCCGTCGCTATAAAAAGTTACTGTAATTGGCTCCCGGGAACTATTATTTTTTCTATCAAATCTACCCATACGCTGGAACACTCTTCTGCATTTAATCTTCCTTCTGTTTCGTTCCACAAGTAACAATAATTTCCTTGAGATATAAAAAATTAAAGCTTATTCGCTGGCTATTACCTTGGCTTAAACGCATAAAGTAATACTCTAAGATAGAACAATAATCGAGAGACAGAAGCAGAATATGTAGGATTTAGCAGTTGAATTTGAACTGATTGTACTTAGCAGCTTTACTCATCAAACAATTTTTGACAATTATATTTTTATATTTACGTATTTTTTTCTTGCCGACTGCGGAATCGCCTACTCCTTCGAACTGCAGCAAAAGGTCAATTTTGCCAAAAAACGGATTTAGCAGGTTTACACTCTAAGCCGACGATATGATGGTTTGCAAATGACAATTGTTGAATAGAGAAGTTATAATTTTGCCTAAATGAAATTATGCCAATTATTTTCAGTTCGAATTAAATTTACTTTGTATTACGCACTTGCATTTAAAGTCATTATTTTCTAATATTACAATTTATTCATCGTTCAAAACTACATTAACAGAATGCAAATTGATGTGAAGCGGGTTATGTTTTTTAATTCCTACCAGAGGAGTTGTATACAAAAACTAAAAATTACAGCGTAATAGAAAAGGGCTAGATAGATTATATTGAATTTCTTCACTTTTATGATAATTTGTGTATAAAAGGATTGTATGAGGTGAATAATGACTAACGTATGTCTCTCACATGCTTTAACTGTACAAAACTTCTATATTAGGACATATACATAGGAGGTTGACTGAAATAGTTTATATGTGATTTTTGTATTTCTCTAATACGTATTTTTGTGAATGTTTATAATGAATTCTGATATTTTTAACGTATATGGTGAAGGCGACTGCTGTGTAAAACTCAAAACATTTTGTGCTGCTTGGTTTTAGTATCGCAGTTTCTAATGTTTGTGTGTGTTCTTGGCTGCCTTTCAATTGTTTTTGTAAACAAAATGAGTTTCCTTTCCGATCTCTACATTTTTAAGTTTGCTTGAGTTGTTTGTGGTTTATAATTCTTAATTTTTATTAATTTTTCTGTTGTTTAATGTAAACGTTTTTATAAAATTTGATGTTCAATGCAATAATTATGAGAAAAATCAAAAATAAAAAGAAAAAAGGAAAAACGATATTAAAGTTTAATTGGTGAGCAAAGAAATTTCATTTTAAATTTACCGCTCGTAGTGGCATTTTAAAGTTAGCTGCTGCCTGCAGTTGAATTTGATAAGCTAAGCTATGAATTTTGAAGCCATAAAGTCTGTAAAAATGCACAAGAGATATTATTAACAAATGGAAATAAAAATATTTATACATATATGTTTGTTCATACTATTGTATATTATACTAAATTTCTATCCTATATGTACGTATGTATGTACCCTAGGGTGGTCCTTAAAATCAAATGAACGATTTTTTTCAGTCTGACCCTTCAATCGGTAACACCACTGTCATAGATATCACATATAAAGTTCAGATTCCTCTATGGAGACTTACAAAATTAAAATTAATTATTTTTTCCATATAATACCCAACATCGATACTATACTACCATAATTGAAGATATCACATATACATTTTGGTCCCGATTGGAGTCGATTAAGGCACTCCGCACATTAAGCTCCTAATCATAGTAGTGTAATCGTTTCGGCATACTAAAGTATAAAGCTTTTATGCCGAACACATGTATTTCAATGAAGCTCTGTACATTACGAGTCAAAATCATGTTTTCGCCTAATTATAAAAACTTCATGAATCGAAGCGCCCAACATTGCAAGGCGCTTGCAGTTTCGAAATCGTCATCTGTTTACTTGTTGTTTGTGTTGGAAATAAAATTTATTTGTCAATTCAATAGAACATAATTGAAAATGAATGATTTCGTGCTAAAATTCGAGTTAATTGTATTAAACCACAAGCATTTATGCAATATTTCGGAGCAGAAATATTTGCGGAAGTGCGTAGTTGCGAAAGAACGGCCAGAAAATTTGTTATGTGTAGAAAGTGTTTATTAGCTGGTGAGCAAGAGTGTAGAAGTCGAGTCGTCATGCATTCGTTTCGGCATGACGAAACGATTATTCTACTTTGATTAGGCGCGTAATGTGCCGAGTGCCTTAGGCGTGTCGCAAGGGGGTCAAAGGCCAGATGCCTCCAAGTATTCAAAAAATTACGGAATATTTTTTTCATTTAATGCCCAAAATCGATACTACTAAAGTCAAGGATATCACATATAAATTGTAGTCCCAATTGAAGTCGGCTAAGACGTCGTCATAGGGTAATCTGAACTTTTACCCCGTGCAACACGCCTTAACCGACTTCAATCGGCCCTTAAATTTATATGTGATATCTTCGGCAATGATAGCATCAATTTTGGGTATTAGACGAAAAAAAAGTTATTTTAATTTTTTGAGTCTCCGTAGAGGAATTTGAACTTTGCCGTGCGCGACACGTCTTAACCGTCTCCAATCGGTATCAAAATTTATATCTGGTATCTTCGACTAGAGTAGCATCGACGTAGGGGCTTAGGAAATCGGATGTAAAAATTTGCTCCCTACATTTAAGGACCACCCTAATGTAAAAAATTATTAAACATCTATGCGATTAACACACACTTAAAACATGCACGTTATTATTACGGTGACCATTTGTACCGATTTTGGCGGGACTGTACCGATTTTGAGAAAATTGTATCGTTAATTTTTAGGCTTTTATAATTATTTGTTAAGTTTGTTGTCTTCTTTGTTTTAATCAAACGATACCAACTGGAATTTAGTGAAATAAAAAATAATACTAATTTCCTCAAAAATTCATGGATATCAAAAATATAAGCTGTATTCATAGTGTGGATACACTCTAAACAATTTTTGTTTAAATTTGCGCATATTAGGAGAGGTAACCAGATTCCTCTCTTACAGCCGGTTTCACCAGCAATTTAAATAGAAAATGGTTTTTTATTTTCTGTCAATTTCCATATATAATCCAAAAATTTAAGTCATTTTTCACATAAATTGCTTTCGAGAAATGGCTATGTATGTAGAAAATGTGTTGAAACATTTGAAAATCTTGAACATTTTATGTGCATATTTATGTGTTTATTTTAAACATCTTATTTTCAGAAACCCAATCTTAAAAATCTTTACACAGATTCAGGTTGGAATATAAACACTTTTCATTAGTAGTTTTATACGGTGTTCACATAAGTCGATTTTCCAGGCAATTTTAGAGGCGATTAATTGAATCAAAAGTTGGCTATCCCCCAACTTCATTGGAAGCGATTAGTTGAAAAGCCGTTCACACCAGGCGATTGTTGCTTTCAACTAAAAGTTGCATGTAAAATCGCCTCATGTAAACACCGTATTACATACACTTTTTAGAGTAGACATTTTTGCGATAATTTTTTAAGTTTTCTTCTCTTTGTTTTGTTTTAAATAAAACTGTGATAAGAGATGTTATGTCTTTTTATTCTAAAAGCAGAATTGTATGTTGGGATTCGATGCTTATTAAATGTTCCGATGTTTGTCCACAGAAATCTGGTCACCGTAGTTATTATACTAAAATTTAACACGCTATGATACTCCATACCCAAAAATTTTATAAATTTTTCAAAATTCTGTATAAAGTTTGAAAGTTTGACTTACATATGGGTGTTTCCATACAGCCGTACGCGACATTCGTACGGTTATAGAGTAACGTAAATCTAACAAAAATAGAAGTTACTGAAAAAAAAGATTACGGTTATGTTGCAACCAAAGGGTACTATGTTTGAGAAAAAAATAAGCAGCCTCGAAACTTTGGTGTGGAAAATATCCGTTCAAAACCAGGTGATAACGTACGCGACAAAAAAAGAAGTGGTTTTAAGGCACATATACATATATGCGAAAGTCTGCGAATCATGAGAGTTTTTCTTTTCTTTAAAAATTCCTAAACTAAGCTAAATAATGTACCTTTACAATCCTTCCATTTTTTAAAGAAATTATCTCTGGTTAGTTTTTATTAAAAAAAATTATAATAACGTACGCGACAGATTTTTCCCCCATACAATATTTTTACTAGTAACACATACTAAATTAAATTTTTTCAGTTCTTCTCTCCACCGTTTCGCGTTTTCAAAACCTTTTTCCGCCATCTGAATACGAAATTTAAAGTTATAAAGCCGTTTGAATTCATTTGCTTGCATTTTCGGTTTACATTTTCATGGAAACACGCATATATGCGAAAGTCTGCGAATCATGAGGAGTTTTTCTTTTCTTTAAAATTCCTAAACTAAGCTAAATAATGTACCTTTACAATCCTTCTCATTTTTTAAAGAAATTATCTCTGGTCTAGTTTTATATTAAAAAAAATTAAAAATAACGTACGCGACATAACGTACGCGACAATTTTTCTCATAAGTAATAAAATGTATTTATTGAGAACTCTTCCCGCCACCGTTTCATTGTTTTACAACTATTCTAAATAATTTAAATAGAAAATTTGCAACTAACATTGGTTTTGATGTATTTGATTGAAATTTTCGTACTTACAATAACGTATGCGACAAACTTTAAAGGGTAATGAAATTTGTTTTACTTCGGTTGGAAAGAAAATTTTACTGTATATCTTTAACTGGAAGAATTCTCGCTTAAGAATTGTAATCTGCATTACCTGCGACTGCCAATATACAAATGACATAGACAAACAATGTTTTTGCACAACGTACGCGACATTAGAATACTATCAGAAGCAAATCAAAAAATTACCGTTAACCGAGCTCTAACTTCTCCTTTTTCTCATTTTTATAGTTAGTTGTTATTGCAAATTTGATTTTAAGATGTAATTGTAATGTTTCAAATCTCTTAATTTAGTTAATAGGAAAGAGAAAATAGTTCATTTCATTAGAGAAAACTGAGTCGAAGAGACACTCAGTTTTACTCTTCAATTTTTGAGTTTTAAAATTGCAATAAGCTGAAATACTTCTATAATATAAAAATTCGAGTATTTTACTCTTATTAATTCGTCTTAAAAACCCTTTTCAGTTGTTTTTATTTTTTCAGTCCTGGTTGACATTTTCATGGAAACACCCATATATATATGGTTTTCGTTAAGGTATGAAAAATATTGTTATGAGAAAAATTTTTTAGCTTGAAAAACATCGTGAATATTAATAAAAAAAACAGCATTCTTCCAGTTTCGACCACTTGTGTATTCTAAGCTACGCTATTTCACAATTATCTATTACCTTTATTTGAACGTCATCTTCTCTTCTCTTTATAAACTTCTATGATAAATAGGCGGTCTCCCATAAATGATAAATAGACATTGAAATTATATGAAATTGTATATTTTTGAAAGAGGAAAGGTGTGTAAAAAACAAAAACAATATGAATAAATCGTATTAACTTTACTAAAGGTCTGAAATCATGAAAATCCCTGCAAGGAAATGGCAGAATTAACCTTTGTTGCAAGTTCGCATGGGAAATCTGCTTACGACGTGATTGGAGGACATTTTAAGAGACTGGCAGCTAGAGCAAGTATTCAACTCCTGATGTTACAATAAATTCGTGCACCCGAAGCCCTCTACCAATGGGATGCCTGTAAAAATAACTGCAACTAACTTTTCAGTGGACTTTGTTTCGACTATGACTACGTGCCAATTACTTTAATCTTATTTTAAGCTAGTTTAAAAGTTTAAATAACATCAAGTTAGGGAACTTCATATCCTTATTTAACGAATCTTTAAATCAATAAATATTGTTTTTCTTTTTAGTTCTTATAGTAATAAAAGCGTGTCTATTTATCATATTGCTCTAACGTTAGACGATATAGAGTCCAAATGCATAAGTAGCTCATTATGCCCATTTGCATACTTAAAGTTAACATTATAGACAATGTTTTTATGTAAAAATAAAAATTTTTAAAAATGCTATAATAAAAAAAAAATCAAAAAGAAAAATGTTTACTTATTTTTTTTTTTTTTTTTTATACATTGCACATTAATACAATAAATGCACAATTAAAGCCCATAATAAGACGGAAGAAATGCATTTTGTTTCATTAAGCTGCGTTAAAAGGTTTCCAAGATACAGCACTTTAAAGAAAGGTATGCATGACGGTTTCTTAAAATTTAAATCCCGACATTTTAACACTTTTCGCTATTGTTTTTTTTTGTTTGTTTAATGTTTATTTTTTTAAGTATAGTTCATCGTCTAACAAAAACTATGGAAACTGTTCAATGTTTCATTAAAATTGCAAACTTTTCTATAAGAATTTCTAGAAAAAAATGTT